GCTGGAGTCAATCTCCTCAGTACATATACTCCCAGAAGAGAGTGGTTAAATCCAAAGAAACAGATTAGTTTAGCATTGGTCTCAACAGATCAGTTACCAACCAGCTTGGAGAAAGTGGGTAAAACTATCTAACAATGGCATTTTTTCATGTGATCAGGTAATTTACAGCACTGATAGAATAAGCGCATAAACTGAATGTATAGTTATGTATACAAATGGTATATAGATACACATGAAAATGTGAATACTGATTTTTACTTATATACTAGTAAAAGTACAAATCTTGTTTGCACAAAGTTTTTTCCACAGCTAAGGCTCAACTGATACTGATCCCTGTTTCCTAAACACATTTGAATACAGTTATATTTGCTTGCTTGCCAGATATTTGTTAATAGCCATTCTGCTGACATCTTCTTTATGCTGCTGCTTAGCTGACAGAATTCATCTGCATAAATGGGTGGAAAGTCCTTCCCTCATGTGTCCAACAAACTGGAGACAAAGTGCCTGCCAACGTTTTAATTTCTTTTGCATGTTCTGGTTAGAGAGTGAGAAGAATGCTTTCACTCTACAGTGTCATGAATATGGTAATCTATGGAAATCACAGAAAGCAGGTACTTAAGTTAAGCACATACTGTACTACAGGAATCCCTGATGAATTCAAGTCTCTTCTGTTTAGAGAAGATGTTGTTGTCTATTAAGTGACAGACTGCCAGATGTTCATGAAGTAGCACAGTAATGTGTATCAGTATCTTCTTTTCTTCACCCCAGAAGGTAACATTTTCTTTATCATCTATGTCATCCTGGCTTTTGATTGTAAATGTCTAAGCTTGCTGCAAATATTAGCTCTTTTTTTGTTTTATTGATGAATATTTCATGACTTCAGTACATTTGTAGAATGTAAGTTTTTGCTGCACTATAGTAAACCTATAATCCTAAAACCTTTTCCCTCACTTGGTGCATATATCCTGCTAAAAACCAAATATTTGAGTTAGAACATGAAGAATAATCTGTTTGTGATTTGGAACTAGAAGAGAAAATTCTGACAGTGTTAGAAAAATTATGAAAGAATAAATAATTGTTATTTTAAGTAATGTTTTATCTGCACATTCAACCATAGTACTATACATCTCATGGTGAGGTCACTGCAGTATGTTCTCCTAGAATACACATTAGTGTTCCGTTTAGTCTCAGAATTACTGAAGGGCTGGGGGTTAGCTCAACCACTTTAAATAATCATGGTTTAAAGAGCAAGCAGAATAGTTGAGTTACTAAATGTGATGGTATATACACATGCAGAGTGAGCAGCAGAGGTTACAGGAACAAGTATATGTGCAGTAATTGCAGATTACTGAGACAGTGCTGTTTACGAAGCAAATAAAAGTTCCAAGAAAAAAATCAAAATAACTGAAAGGCAGAGTTCATTTTTTTTCTGAATAATTGTTGTGTTCTGTCCTTTATTTTGAAGGCATTTCCACATCATTAAAAGCAGTGAACCCAGAAATGTCTCAGCTCTAAGAAACAGAGCCATGAGAATGCATGAACCCTTTGATACAAGGGACAAAATCCCTGTGGCTTCTTGCTAATGGAACTACAGCAGCTCCAGGGGTTGCAACAGCTGATGTTGGCCCAAGAAACTCACTATCAGGTGGAAACTGGTAGAATGAAGTATCCCATCCTCTCCATTACACATCTCCTGCCCCCATGCTGTGGGGAGGACTCCTGCACGATTCCTTGCTGGAGGTGTTGACATGAACCCTAGTGCCATCTGGATGGCTCCTTCTTGCCATGGGCTCTTACCATGCAGGGTATGGAACTGACACAGAGAAAAGCAGCTATTTAAGAGAATTTAGCTTTGAATGCCTGAAAGAATAAGAATGTCTAACAGAATAAGAATTCACATCTTTACTTTCTCCATTGCCATACATAGTTTTCATTAGTTAAGCTGTTTACCCGCGGGGAAAACTTCTGCAAAATATTCTCTTCATATATAGATCTATGAATATGAAAATGTGTGTTATTTGCTGCCTTCAGAGGAACAAAATTCAGCTGTTGGCATTACTGTTAGGTTGGTTTTTTTGTTGGGTGGTTTGGGGTTTTTTTCCCCAGAAGTAACACAAGCTACTTGTCATTGTCACAAGATTTCATTGTTGTTACTGGTGCTGCTCATTGGTACTGGAACCTTGTGTTTTCTTTCTCTTTGGAAATGTTGGAGTCATGTTTTGTTGTATTCTCTGAGAACAAGGAAGAAAGCAGATATGACTTCAGGAAACTTCAGTAATCTTTCTGTTGTTGTTCTTCTCATTGCTCTTGTTGTTATTGTTGTTGTGAAGTTGCAACAGGGTGGAGGCAGACCACTGCATGGAAATTATTGCACAGTGTAAAATAAGAACATATTATATGTATTACATGTACATGCAGTATGTAATAAGGATTCTAGATATATGCAGCCATTTTAGCACATCTCCTTGACTAAGAAGTCTTTCTTTCTGCAGACCTTCTCCCTGGTCTCCTGGATCAGGGATTCCTGAGGGCAGTGAAGGTTGAAGCAAAGAAGGTGTTCCCTATCTGAGCTTCCTCTGCAACCTCTGTTGCAAGGTTCCTTTTTCCACTCAGTAGTGGGCCCACATTTTCTCTACTGTTCCTTTTGTTATTAATGTAATAATGTTTTCCCAGAGGCACTTCCACCATTGCTGATGGGCTTGGCCTTGGCCAGTGGCAGGCCCATCTTGGAGCCAGCTGTCCTTGGCTCAGCCAGATATAGGAGACGCTTCTAGCCACTTCTCACAGCAGCCACCCTTGTAGCCCCCCCCACTATCAAAACCTTGCCACGAAAACTCAATACACTGTGCCAGCTGAAATCTGTGTCTTCTAACAGTAGATGGCATCCAGCCCCTTAGTAGCAGACAGGTCCCAGATAAGCAAACCATGACTTCATCATGGAGACATATGTGGCTTTTCCCAGAGTAAGGAGCAGATCAGTTTCCAAGTTAGAAATAAAGTCTGGGTCATCTGACGCATATTGCACTGCCCTATCCACCAGCCTGTTCCACTGGTTAGGTTGCTTGCTGGTGTGCCCATAAAAATTGCATCAATCTGAAGTGCAGGATTCTTTCTACTTTTTGCCATTAGGAAACAAGAATCTTTTTTAGTTCATAATATGCTCAATTACCTTTAGATTGATCCATGAATAAATTATAATCAAAACAGACTTGCTCACCTTAAAGCTCTCTGGCTTAAGGTTTCATTGTTGATTCATTAAGTTGTCAGTTCTCTATTGGCAGAGTAATGCTTTTTTATATCTGAATAGAGACAGTTTTAGTGGAAGGTACTGTTATCTTTAAATGAGCAGGATTTAGCTTTTTTGGTAAGAACAAATTCATCAATGATGAATCCCTGGAGAAACTACTGAAACAAAAATCACAATGTTGCTGAAGATTTATACAGTTCATCAGTTAAAAGGCAGCTTTTGGAAGTGAAGGGCGAGGGAGGATTTGGATTTTTGCTTTCTTTCTGTAAAATACTCCAGCAAGATATGTCAAGCTTCCAGTTTTGTGATAATGCAATTATAAACAATGAAATAATTCCACTTAATGTATTTATTTTGGCTCCATTCTTGATGTTATCCCTCCAGTAGAAACACATTAAATTATGTCTATATAGAGACAGATGGATACAAATAATGCAGCTATAGACATCACTGATACAGATATATAAGTAGATGAGAATTATCTAATTACTCTGCTTGTTGCAGTCTTCTAAGGACTTGCTATGCTCCACATATTCATATTAATTGTGTTTTTTTCCTAGGCAGATGTTGATATAACAAAGATATCATGTATGGAGAGTTTAGTGACATTGGATTATCTGGAAATTAAAAAAAAAAAAGTACTCTATAAAGATTTCAAAAGCAAACAGAGTTAAACGCACCAAGCTCTGTGCTTGTGCTTTCATTGGGAATTTTGTTATTAAATCCCCTATGTGCTTAGGAAGATATCCCCTACAATGCTTAGAGGTGATTTAATTTTAAAATCTCTTAAATATCCATTTCTTCCACAGTTATTTCAATGTCTCCACATTTTCTGTATCCAGTAACATATTTCATTAAAATATTGTTTGCCATTTCATATGGCCTTTGACTGCAAGATGTTTGAAAACACAGCTCCAAACAATAAGCACTCTCCTCTGCATTCCCTGTGTCTGCATTACTCATACGGGGGAACCATCAATAAGTCCTTCCTAAGCTCCTGAGGCTACATTTTCATGTATTATTTATTACTATAGAAAAGATTGTTGGTTTTCAGTGTTGTTTGATGAAATTTGGCTTGGCTGCTTGTGAACCACTAGACTCCAAATAACCAGGCCATTTGTATGGCCACACAGTGTGTGAAGTCAGTGGAAGCTCATTGTGTATGCCCCAGCCTGGACCAAGACCTACATGTTTCCTTAATTATTTTAAATTCCATTTTACCAAATTCTTGACAGAAAAACAGCAATGCACAGCAAATATGAAAGTTGGACAACAGTTTTCTAGATTAATCATATTTTCTTTTATTTTTTAAAAATACAGATTATACAGTTTAATTTAGCTGAACACGTCATTACAAATCATCTGAATTATGGAACTGGTGGCATTACACACTCTTCGAAATGTCTGCTGTACATTCCAGATAGCAGATATGTTAGATGTAAAAATCTACTTCAACTTACAACTTTGAAAATTAATAAACCTTTGTAATTCGCTCTTCACCTATACACAAAAATGAATTCTTCCTCCACACTCTTCCTTAGATCGTCTATTTCACTTCCGTATACCCAGTGTTTCTGTCAGTAGAAATTAGGAGATTGGGCATATATTAAGATAACAGAAAAGTAAAGGATTTATTAAGAAAAGATTTGGCTGTTCTTCCTGAAAATGATCTTCAATCAGTCAAGCCATGAACAACTGTCTCCTCTCTCTACTACTTCAGTTAAAACATCAGCAAAATAGCTTTGCTACTTACTCTCAAAGTCAGCAATCCAATTCCTGGCCAGACAGGAAAGAATCCAACAATGCTTTGTCATCGGGTCTCCTCCCCTCTCAAGTCAAAGTTGTTGGCATCAGCACATAAATTATGGAGAGGAAATAGTTTCTCAGTGACACAACTACTACTTATTCATAGCCAAAAATGTAATTCTAGTTGATTTGACCTAGTAGACATACCAGAACACTTTTTAGCAAAATTTGTGGGGTTTTGATTTTTGCTAAAAGTTTTAGGCTTTCTAAAAGTCTTGTAAAGAATTGAGTTTACATGTTTGTGCTTTAGAGCCTATTGATTAGAATGAAATTAAACAAATTCTTCCTTCTGCTCATTTTGCCTTATAAAATAATCCTGGTTTTGCTGTCTTATTTGACTTTAGTATGTAAGGCCGCTTCCTTACTTCTGTTTGGAGTAATTCATAAAGCCTTATTTTAAGACATCCAAGAACAATTCTCATATGGCAACTGCACAGAAAGGAAAGTTTGTTTGATGTCTGTAAGGAAGCCCTTGAACATGACATGCAGGAACCAAGTTCTCATTGAACAGACACAATAAGAACCCATGGACAATGGGGAAACTTGGGCTACACCTTACCTTTGGGACAGATGGGGTCTGCAATATCCCTCACAGTTCTGGCCTTGCATTTGCCCAGACTGAGGCTTTGTCTCATGGTTCAGTTCCAGCCTGCAGGAGGGCACCTCCTCCGGGGAGCTCCAGGAGACTGCAAGGCTCATGCTGACTTGCTGTTAAAAATGTGTTGAGGCCACAAACCAACTCTTGGAAGCAGAGAAGCATTTCAAGGACCTCACCCTCTGGCTGTATGCTCAGAGTGCCAAAAACTGAACAGCCAAGAAAGCTTTTGTTTGTCATAGCAAGAAGCCTGAGGTCCCAGGGCTGGGTACTGTGGCTGACGGAGCTCATCGAGGAATTTTTCTCCTAAGGATTAGCAGAAGGGCAGGGTAACCTCTTCTGGATTTACTTCATTTTAAAAAATAATAATTTGTAAATTTTTAAATAATTTGGGGTTTAAAATTCACATTGAAATTCCCTCTTAAAAAATTGATGACTGCGGCAGTACTGTATCTTGTTCGATATGCTCTTTGAGGTTGTATTATTAGCGTGAATTAATGCTAGCAGCTGCCGAGGCTGTGTATCCCCTGTTACTACCTGCTGGTTTCTGCAGTACTGCTGTAGCTTCTGAACAGGGTTTAGTTAGGTGGATAAAATACTTTTGCAGAATAAGAAACTAGTTTCAGGGGAGGAAGGGCATGATCTATTGCATCAAGCAAAAATCCATTTTTTTACCATTTTTCGCTCACCGAACTCTGTGATCGTGGCACACTACAGTTGTCCATATCTCTGCTAGGTAAGCAAAGGGACTTTTTCTGTCAGGAAGTGGAGTGTTTTATGAATCCTTAACCAGCTCTTTCATGTTCTTGGGTGAGACATGAGTTTTGCAATTCAGTGAAATCTTCCTCTAGAGTTTGCTTAATTGGGTTCAAGGATTAAACGTTGCAGAAAAGATTGCAAGTGGGACATGGAGGTAAATTAGGAGATTATAATGTGTTTCAGTTCATTTGGTGTTTGTTAGCCTTACTTTGACAGGTCAAGACAGCCTTCTATTATCAGACTGCAAAATATATGTTTATAAGCTTTAAAAAATATGTATTGATATATTCAGATATCAGTACAAGTAATCTTAAATACTGGTGGAACCCTTCTAAGTAAACTGATAATTTTCTGATACCTTACCACATAGTATAAAATAAAATAGAAATAAAGTTAGAATTTGAATTATTTAACATGATACATTTTTATATACAAGCAAGTATGCAATGGGGATATAATAGATTGTGGGATGCTGACCTGCAATTCAGCTATTTTTCTGCTGTGGGATATTAATATTTTAATATTCAGTATATATTTTCAAGTCAGATCCCAGTGTTCATATTTGATTTTTATTCACTTCTCACTCTGGTGCAGTCTTGCTGTTTTCAATTTCAACTTCCTGAATAAGAAGCAAGTCATGGTCAGCATGGACTTAGGGTTTCACCTGTGGGATCAGACTCACCTTTTTACTACCCCCACTCACTAAGCATAATCATTTTTGTTTCAGAAACTACCCAGTTTTGGGCCTTACCTGGAACAACGCAAAAAAATAATAGCTGAGAACAAGATTAAACTGAAGGCACAGAACATGACTGCTGTGCTTCCCGAGAAAAAGCATTTCATTCCGAAGAAGCCCATTCCAGCAATCAAGGTAACAAAAATATATGCTTATGCATAGGAAATGATCGGCCATCAGGCAGTTGACATGCACAGTCATTTCTGGCAGCTTGAGTTGGTTATTACTGCTTTTAAGCTAGTTAGAGGGCATCAAAGACAACTGTTTATGCAGACTTTCTAGCTTTTAACCAAAATCAATGAGAAATGATTTGTGATGTACATGTATAGGTATTTCTCTAATGTCGTTTTTCAAAATGAAGATATTCAGGCAATGGAACAGTAATTGCAGGACAAGCAGGGGTAATGCCTTGAAGAGCAAAGCAGAATTGTTTACAATTTCTTTCAGTTTGAATGCTACAGTATGAGCTGTTTTGCATGGTACCTTTTGATTACTTGCAATGTGCTAAATGCCTCCATCCCTCATGTAGGATCAATGGAAAAGGTTGGTGTTCAGTACATATAAAAGCTGTGTCATAGGTTTTCAGACTGAACTTTTAAAGCTGGAGAATGTTTGTCTAAGAAGCTGATCCACTGTCTACAATGAGTAAATGTCAAGGCAGAAATAAAACCTGTGACCCCTATCTACTGCATAATATATACATTGAAGCTTTTCTCTTCCCTTAGTTAGCCAATAAATATCAATAAAATGAAACGGCATAAGCTAATTATTCTAGGTGTTCACTTCAGAGCTGACTTGAACTTCAAGTCTGAATAGAAAAAATAAGTGAGCAATTTATTATTTTTCTTTTTAAATTGTGATTCTCATGTAGACCCTTTTATAAAGCAATTTGGAAATTATGTCTGTTAATTTGTTGACTGTTTTGCTCATATATGGGAGAATATCAGATATCTACGGGTAGGTAACTTTCCCTGTATGATCACACCTGTAAGAATTCTTGCAAAAATAAGGTCAAACATAAAATACAATATGAACAGTGCTCAAAATAACACATAATTACCAAGAGAATTTTGCAGTTTACCAATATATCCAGTATTCCAAGTTAACTGGTAGAATGGCAAAACCAGCCAAGGAGAAATTTTGAATCATCTTCCTGTTTAAATTAAATAGTTTGCCACATCTATAGACCTCTCTCAGGTTTCTGGACTGCTTATTTTGGTTTATGTCACGCTTTTGAAAATCACTCCCCTCCTCTTGTGCTGAGGTTCCCTTCTATATGTATACAACAAGTTCCAAAGAACAGCAATCTACTCTTTTTTTTCCCCCCACTATGATGAGCATTTTCAAAGCCTGCTTGACCTCCGAGGTTTCATGATTCTGTTCTCTTTGCAGGGAGAGAGTATTGATGTAGGGAAAAAGAAAAAGAAGAAGCAAGAGCCAATAACTGCATTTTCAATGAGATAGCTTGCTTCTGAAAACAGCAGAAAACCAAAAAACTGATACCATCCAAAAGCAAATAAACCGAATGAAGGAAAAAGTTTAGCAAGGGGGAAAAACAGACATAAAGACTTGAAAAAACATAAATAAAAAGTTGAGGTCAATAATTTATCAAGCCTAACTCCAAGTACAAAAGCAAAAAAGATCCAAGTAGTAGGAGATAGATTAAAAAAAAGAAAAGAGGCCCTTCTGCAGGGAAGAGGAAAATGAATTCCCCCAAATACAAACTTTTGTTTAAAAGATATTGAATACTTTTGAGTGGTGTCTGAGGAGCTTCTCAGCCACTGAAATCAGGTTAGCCTCTTTTTCACACCTTTGGTTAAATGAAACTGAAGCAATTAGAAGAAGATAGGCATCGCCAAAGTTGATTCATGACAGTCTTCCAGTCTGAACATCTCTTTAATATTTTAACCATAATGAGAAAAACAGCAGCAAGAGAGGTTGTACTGTGTTTGCGTGGCAAGGTTTTGGTGTAGTGGTGGGACTACAGGGGTGGTTTCTCTGAGAAGCTGCTGGGAGCTTCCCCAGTGTCCGACAAAGCCAAGGGCAGCTGGCTTCAAGACAGACCCGCCACTGGCCAAGCCCAAGCCCATCAGCAATGGTGGTAGTGCCTCTGGGATAACATATTTTAAAAGGAGGGAAAAAACCAGCAACTTCAGTCGAAGAGAGAAGTGAGAATATGGCCTTGTCAGGGATCTGCTTGGCAGAGAACCATGAAATAAAGCCCTGGAGGAAAGAGAGGTAATATTCAAGGATCACCTCTCCCAAGCTCAGGAGCAATGCATCCCAACAAAGAGGAAGTCAGGGAAAAATGCTATGAGGCCCTGAACAAACTCAGACACAAAAAGGAAGCCTTCAGAGGGCCACCAAGATGACCAGAGAGCTGGAGCACCTCTCCTATGCAGACAGGCTGAGAGCTGGAGCTGTTCATCCTGGAAAAGAAAAGGCTCTGGGGAGACAGAGACCCTTCCAGTACCTAAAGGGGCTGCAAGAGAACTGTAGAGGAACTTTTTACAGGGGCATGTGGTGACAGGACAAGGGGGAATGGCTTTAAACTGAAAGAAGGCAGGCTTAGATTGGATATTAGGAAGAAATTCCTACGAGAGTGGTGAGGCACTGGAACAGCTTTCTCAGAGAAGTTGTGGATGCCCCATCCCTGGGAGTGTTCAAGACCAACATGGCCTGCTGGAAGGTGTCCTTGCCTGTGGCAGGGGGGTTGGAACTGGATGACCTTTGAGGTCCCTTCCAACACAAACTGGTCTGTGATTCTAGGTGATAGGAACATCTCTGTAGACCCCAAGGTCAGTGAAGAAGGAGGGGGAGGAGGTGCTCCAGGTGACAGAGCAGAGATTCCCCTACAGCCTGTGGAGCAGATATCCTCCTGCAGCCTGTGGAGGACCCCATGCCAGAAAGAAGAATGTGACCTCATGGGAAGCCTGCACTGGGGCAGGCTCCTGGTAGGACTTGTAACCCCATGGAGAGAGGAGCCCACGATGGAGCAGTTTTGCTGGCATAACTTGAGGCCCTCTGGAAGGGACCCATGCAGGAGCAGTCTGTTCCTGAAAGACTGCACTCTGTGGGAGAGACTCACACTGGAGCAGTTCATGAAAAACTGCAGCCTGTGGGACGGATTCGGGAGGGACCCCATTCTGGAGCAGGGAAAGAATATGAAGAGTCCTCCCTGTGAGGAGGAAGGAAAGGCAGAGACAATGTGAAGCCAACTGCAACACCTTCTAACCCTAACCCATTCCCCTGCACCACCAAGTGGGGAGGAGGTAGAGAACTTAGGAGTATAAGTTGAGCCCAGGAAGAAGGAAGCGGTGGGGGGAAGGTGTTTCATTATTTGGTTTTATATCTCATATATATACTCTGATATGATTGGCAATAAATTAAACTAATTTCCCCAAGTCCAGTCTCTTTTGCCTGACACAATAACTGGTGAGTGATCTCTCCCTGTCCTTGTCTCGGCCCATGAGACTTTCAGTATATTTTTTGTCCCTGTCCTGCTGAGGAGGGGAGTGATAGAGCAGCTTTGGTGGATACCTGATGTCCAGACGGGGTCAGTTCACCACAGATGCCCTCTAAGAAATAGGAAAATACCTGGGTTTTGGTTAAAGTAGGGAATTTGCCACTACAAAGGGAGGTTTTAATAAAGTTGATTATTAATAGATCCATCTATTATTATATAGTGGTGAAAATCTGCCAGGAGGATTCAGAATATTCATTAATGAAGCTGAGTGAAGCTTAATGAAAAAAGGTGACTTATCTGATACCCTTCCCTGATCAGGAATTCTCCATGGAGAGAGGCAAGGGAACTTGAACTTGAGTGATTTATTTGTAACTGTTCAAGAAATGTTCACATTTAAAATTACAAATCCCAGACCATCTTCAAGTAGTTCTGTCTTGGCTGACCCTCTAGACAGAAAGAATAACATATTCACTAACTGAATATGTTAGTTCAGACTAGGATATTGGGAGTAGTAATGGTCAGTACCTGGTTCTCATAGGTAGTCCCAGCTTAACTCTAACTCTCTGGAGCAGTGAAGTGACATGCTTGAAAGCTGATGGGACCTGAGAGATAGGTGCCCTTGAAAGAGGTATGACCCCTGCATTGGCTGCTTGTGTTTTTGGAGGGTTGGTGCAAATTTCCTGATTCCCCCCCAAGTTTCTTAGTCTGCCTAATCAGCTGTTGGGTTGGCGATATATAAATTCCAACATTTTTGTAAATTCCACATGCTGTCAAATTGCCTTTTTTTTTTTAATCAATTTAAAAACCCTCTGCGATTATCCAAAATATAACTTATTTTTGAATCTCTTTTCCCATGGCTGTTCTCTTTATTTTCTCTATTTTTCAATATTATTTGAAACTGCATGCTTTGATGTTCAGCAGAGTTGTTTATTCTTTTCTCACTTGTCTGTAATATCGGAATTTCTGCCATATGTGGATATGTGCCTTGGATATTTTCTTTTCAGTTGCAGTTTTGTACAGCTCCCACAGATGGATTTGCCTATTTCAGGTTACCTCCTTATTACTTTAATTTCTTTCCTTATATGTTCTTGTGTTTTCTTCCTAATAATTTAGTTCTTTTGCCTTAAGGGCCTATACCACAATATTCAGTCACCATTTATCTGCTTATTTTATTTCTTCCTTTTTTTACTCCACAAGTCTTGCTGTAGAGATTGCCTTGTTTGGTAGTTCAAACATTCTGGCATAGCTCTGTTTGTCAGCTTAGCTAGGGCGTGACATGGTGTTCTACCTGTTGGAAAAATATCCACAGAGATCCTCAAGCTTAAATTCCTCGTGTTTGATCTAGTTCAAGTAAACTTTAGTCTTCAGATATGGGCATAAATCCTAGAGTCCAAACTTCCTCTTTCCCTCCCCACTCTGACTGTGGCAGGAGGACTGCCTCAAGTAGCTTTGCAGTAGAATAGAATAGGAATTAGAATAGAATAGAATAGAATAGAAAAAATCATTTCAGTTGGAAAGGGCCAACTGCCTGACCACTTCAGGACTGACCAAAAGATAAAGCATGTTATTAAGGGCATTTTCCAAATGCCTCTTAAGCACTAACAGGTTTGGGGCTTCAACCACCTCTCTAGGAAGCATGTGCATGACCACCCTCTCAGTAAAGAAGTGCTTCCTAATGTCCAGTCTGAACCTCTCCAGCACAGCTTTGAACCATTCCTACATGACCTATTGCTGTATACCAGGGAGAAAAGATCATCAGCTCGCTTTCTATTTCCTCCACTCAGGAAGCTGTAGAGGGCAGTGAGGTCACCCCTCAGCCTCCTTTTCTCCAAACTAGACAAGTCCAAAGTCCTTCGCTGCTCCTCACGGGATGTTCCTGCCCTTTCACCAGCTTTGTTGCCCTCCTCTAGATGCATTCAAGTACCTTCACATCCTCCTGAAATGGTGGGGGACCCAGAACTGTACACAGCACTCAAGGTGAGGCCACAGCACTGCTGTACACAGTTGGACAGTCACCTCTTTTGAGTGGCTGGTTGTGCTGTGTTTACTGCACCCCAGGTTGTGGTTTGCCCTCTGGGCTGTCCGGGCACACCACTGGCTCACAATGCGCCTGCTGCCCACCAGAACCCTCACATCCCTTTCAGCAGGGCTGCACTCCAGTCACTCCTCTCCTAATTTATACTTCTGCCCAGCGTTTCTCCATCCTAGGTGCAGAATCTGGCATTTGGGCTTGTTAAATTTCTTCCCATTAATCATTGCCCAGTGCTCCAGGGCACTGTGCTTCTGTGGTTGAAACTGGAATGACTTTGTATTCCATATCATGGCTGATTAATTATAACAACAGCACTGCAGTAGTTATGGTGCTATTTTCTATCTTAACATCTTGCTAGTTTGCTTGCCTCTGGTCAGGACAGCACACCAAGCAGAAGGTTCCGTGAGCTGTCGATAGTGTCTCCTACTGTGTTTTCTTTTGCAGATTTTTTTTATCTAGAATGTATCTGTTGGCGAGATCAGCAAAAGTTATTTACTTTGATAAGATGTTTGTCAAGCTGCATTTTTTCACCGTGATAGTATCTCTTCATCTAGTTTTTTAAAATACCTACAAGTTTCTTGGATTTTCTTCAATTTAAATTAAAATTTGTACCAACTCTACACTCTTCTGCTTCAAATCTTTTCCTGAAAGACACTCAAACATGTTAAACAACATCATATCTAAACCGGAAAATTGAGATGCTTTGTTCCGTTAATATTTTACATTTTCTAAGCATTGGTCATTGTATTCCACATCTTTATTTTTTGCTCTGTTTTTGCTCTTTAACCAATTTGCAATCCCAGTTCATGACTACTTAATTTCAGAGCTCTGTTGTGTCACAGGCTCCTATCAGAGGCCTAGTCAAACATAAAAATTACTGGGGTTTTTGTTTTTTGAGTTGTTGTTTTTTTTTTTATTTGAAAGACCTCACAGTCTTCATAAAGAATTGTGATAGATTCACAAGGCATAATTTTCATTACAGAAACCTTATTAAATAATAACATA